TTGGCAGCTGATTGTGAACTATAATGATAATTGAAGTGGAATGAGAAATATGGCAGAAATTCTGAGGGGTTGGAGCGGGTTAGAGGACATCAACAGCAGGCACCACGTCTTGAGAAATATGAAAATTTTCACACACAAATGAAAGCTGTCGTCGGTGGAAAGACTGAGTGCGTTGAAATTGCAATTGAAGTTGATCAAAATTGATATGGGACTGTAAAAAAAAGAAAAAGAAAAGGCTAGGAAAGAAATTGCATTAGTTCAATGGGGATAGTTATTTGCCAAAGGTGATTCTGTTTGTTTGTAAATTTTTTGAAATTTTGCTCTAATAATGAATGGAATCCTTAAATTAAGGGAAGTTATTAATATTAATGAAGGGAACTTTTCCGCATTCAGCTTTTGTGAAAAAAACAGCTTTTGTATACATCCTCAACCACTTACCGCGCTAACCAAAAAATGAAAACAATAAAATTCTAGACATTAAACTTCAATTTGGCCTGAAACACTGCAAATGTTACAAGCACAACAAAAACGGAGGTCCTGCGGGCATGAAGAAGAACAGAGCGGAAGAAATGGTTGAAAATGAAGGGAAGCAGTCCAGGAAGAACTTGCATTTTATGCATTAATTCAAAAATCGTGTTCAGTTGAGAGAGCAAACCGCAGTAAGCTCTTTTACGGTTCTGCCTTTTCGCCATTCCCCTTTAGAATTCTTCTTCTGTACCCCCCTGAAACCAACAGTTTATATGGGTGGAACCACCGAAAAAGTTGGCAACCCTGTCTGGGGTTGCCTCACATGCGCTGTTGTTTTTGTATGTGAGTGAAAACGCAACCAAGCAGGATCTAAACTTCCTTGGCTCTGCCCTTCTTGTCCCCAAATTCTCTTCTCTACCTTTAGGCTGTTTTTACACCTGGCGCACAACTTGAAGAACTTACGAAACTTCAACTTGAACTTAAAGTTAAAGAGTTAAAAAAAAATAGTTTAAAAAATGTACCAGAGTACTGTGGCAAAGTATGAGTAAGAATGAGTAAGAAGTAGTTAAATAAAAAACAGAATAAGAACAAAAGGGGTCAACAAAGTTTATCCAAAGCACGCAACTTGAATATTATGTGCAAAAATATTTGCGACGAATTAAAAAGTAAAAGAAGAAAAGGGCTCCAAAAAAGGAATAAGTAAAAGTGTAGAAAAAAATAAGGAGCGGTATATGGCAGCTTTGAAGGCTGTGAGGAAAGAGTGAGATGGAAGAAGAGCGCGCATTCCAGCACGTATGCCAAGCAATTATCCTTCAGGAATTTCTTAATTTTCCCGTTAGGTTTTCATACCAGGAAGGAAAAGAAAAAACTAGAAGCTAAAGAAGAACAAGCTGCAGCGGAAATAAGAGGAAGCGCCACAGACTAGGCAAATTCTATTCTTAGAAAAACTCAAACTTAATAAAATTGGTGGGGACTAACAAAGCATGCAAACTTTCGAGGAGTAATATGGATAGAAAATAAAGAATGTTTTAAGAATTCAAATAATAAAAAAAAACACGTCTTCCGACTGCACCTTTCGTAGATGTTGCGGAAATTGTACCACACCCTCGAGTCTTTTCAATTTTTTTTAAATACCCTTTACCAGGTTTGTAAATTTAAACATAACTGTCATAACTGTAATATTGATATATGAACTTTATGTTCTCGATCTGGTTTAGAATATCAAATAAACTTTATATTCGCAATTTAAAAAAAAAGTATTCAATTTTTTAAAACGTAATGAGACTTAATTTTTCTTTAAAAGTATAATAGTTTTCAGCTTAAAAATGCATTCCCCAAACCTATACGCCCAAATAATGTGTACACAAAAATATGTTTTGCCAACAAAGCTAATGTCAAAAAAAGAACGAGAACGAACACCCAAATTGGGCGGTAAAAGGACATGTAGTCCAGAAGGAGGAGGAGTTGCACAGGACTTCAGGAGTGACAGACTGAAGGGACAGGACTTCGCGACGTGTCAGCAGCTTTTTTGCCATGTCCATGCTCCTGGCTCCCAGTACATTTTTTTTTGTGTCATTTTGCCTGTAACTTGTGTTCCAGGGTTTTTGCTGTAAATATCATTAAGTTCGCGTACGTGCCAAATGGCAGTTTAATTATGGCAAGGAGTCGAAACAGACACACCATTCCACAAGACCCAAGCCAACTCCGAAGGATCGTGGTGGAAAGACTCCATTACTGTGAAGTTTGGGGAGCATTTTGCAATTAAAATAGATATAACATTATAACTTGTTTTTTTTGGTCCTTACCAAAAAAAACTATTAAAAAGAATAACGAAAAAAATTAAAATTCTCGTTTGGCTGCGTTTTAATGAGCAGCGGAGGGAAAAATAGTTTTTGCAAGGCAGGATGATACGAGGTATACGTGTGAAATATTAAAAAAAAATGATGAAGCCGTAAAGTGAAGCAAGATAAAGGAAAGCGAAGAGGAAGGAAAAAAATTTTGAAGAAAAATTCCTGTTTGACAAGTTCTTTAGATGCCAACAATTTTTAGAAAATGGGGATAGTAGGTTGAAAGAATTAAGAGTGTTAAAATACGAAGAGTTTTTATAAATGGCTTACACTAAATGTTGATTTTGAGCCATTTAAAGGATCGTTGCAAAATATGTAAATTTATTTACTTATTATTTTAAGCTAACTTATCGTTACTGAGAAAAGCACAACTAAGAACTGCATGCTTTAAAACGGCATCCAATATATTATAGCCAAAAAAGTACTTCCACAAAATAACACGTATGAAATTCAGAAATTGCGTAAATGAATGGAGTAGTTTTCCAAATTAGTGAAGAATGGATAGCTACAGAAAGCTTTCTTAACTTTTCTGTTCCTTTTTCCCCACTTCCACATAAATTATTATCTTTCTTTCAATGACTTTACGCATAGTCCCCATTCACATTTGTCCCCCCCGTCGAAGTTGAAGTGTTTTCATCGCAGTTTTCCCAGGAAATTTCAAGGGTTCTCCTGGTGCATTCGGAAAAACTTTTTCCAAGCACCGGCACCTCTTTTTCTCACTTGATCCCCCGCTGTTGCACTTTTGCTGCTAGCAAACTCCTTGCAACTATTATTATCAACTATTATTTTGTCTAGTTAACTGTTCAAAAAAGAGGAGCTTAAGTGATGTTGGCACACTTTGGGGCAGGAACCCGACCCCGCCCCTTTTTAACTTGGTAGCCACTATTCCCGGGGCGCAAACACACACTTAGAACACCCCATCCCAGACTGTTGCCCAATTTGCGTAAACATTTATTACGCACTCCAAGAAAAACTTTTCTCAAATTATTTTCTCTCAACTATTCTGGTGCGCTTTGGTGGGGTGGCTTAAGGCGGGCGTGTCTATAATGGTGTGCATAATTTTATGATGATAATTAATTTCATGTTTGCCACTGCTGCAAATTGAGTCCTGCGGCTAATCGGTCTGCAAATTGTACAATGGCAATGAAATGGCCTGGAAACTATTTAGACAATAAATATTTATTTTAATCCAACAGAAAGGTATGCGTTTAAAAACATATATTCGATTTTTAATTTAAATAGCCTCATGATAAAACTTTGTGAAGGCAATTTTTTACTGTTGGCAAAACTTATGTTAATTGTGCGTAGTAAAAATTTTGAAAATTTGGAGATTTTATTTTCTTAGTCATGTATCTTTTTGGATACGTTTTGATCAAACTTTTACGAAGGTGCGTTCATAGTTTTGCCATTTTCCCCTCTTTTTGAAGATGATGAGATATTCAGTCATAAATTTTCCTTGCCGTTTCGCGGTTAAAACTTCCCAGTTTTTGCCTTTTGATTCCATCTGTCGCAAACGCCACCAAATTGTCGCTGTCCCAGCCCTTTTTCTTAGCCAATTTAACCCCTCAAAACTTTCTTCAAGATCACCCTTATTTCTTTGATTTTTCCTTTTTCCTCTGCTTAATAGCCATCGGTACTTTAACCACTTCAATCTCCGATTTATTCACGAACTCGAGTTTGCCGTTCGCCATTTTTGCATTTCCTTTTTTTATCTGCCACGCCCACTTGCTACCCCTCCCCCCCATTTCCATGCATCGAGTTTTATCACCCAATGCTCATTATTTGCTTTTGTTGTTTTTGCAAACTATTTTCAAAGTAATTCCCTGAGTTTTGTTGTTCGATTTTTCTTGCCTTCAACACAAAGTTTCTACAAGCAATCTGAGAGGTGGGTGAACTTCCCCTTGGGCGTTGGTTTTTCGCTGACTAGGGTTAGCTCTTGATTTTCTCTGCATTTTCTCTGGATTTTCTTATTTTTGCCCAATTTTGTATTGTTATTGTATTGGCCACAACTGTTGCCACATTTTGGACTTTGTTTGTTGCGGCTTTCATTCCTGAGTCCCCATTCCTTGATTGGAAATATTTTTCGTATATTTGCATGTTTCGGGGCAAGAAGGATTCAACGAAAAGAAATGCAAATAATATTTGTTTGAGTTATTTGTACAATTTTTAATGATTTTTTGTGAGTTTTTCATGACCTTTAACTTTTGCTGCTAAAGGTAAAGGGTTGTATAAAAAAGGCAAGAAATATTATAAAGAGAAGAAAGTTAATAAAAATCCTATAGCCCTTAGCAACGCTTATTGAGGTGGGAATTTAATATTATAAGGATTCTAACGCTGGCCAAGCATCAAGGATACTATCAAAAGTATTTTTTAAAAATTTTTATTTGCAAAGGATAGTTATCATCTTTTCAACTCTCTACTTAAGAAAAAAAAAATTGTCCTTGATTTTAGGAAAAATGTTCTCAACATTGGGAATATTGGCTTTAAATTTTGTATGGAACGCTTAAATTAAAAGCAATTATTTCTAATTTTAAGGCCATTTCTTTTTTAAATTTATTATTCGCCTTGTTAATTCCCAAAAACAACAATAAATTTTATAGTTTTAATAAGGATATTATTTACCTTCAAAGATTGGCCAGCTTTAGACTTTATTCTATATTTGCTTTAGTTCTAGTAAAATCTTACCCAATAATAGTCCACAGGTTGGTTTAGAAAACTTACCTAAAACGAGAAGAAAAATGTGTATATTAGTTAAGTTGGTAAAAAAAAAACCATAGCCCAACTTGACTTTCAAGAAAATTCTAAAGCCCAACAAGCACTTGCTGCAAATGTAAATGAAATAAGTATAAATCACTTTCAATCACCATAGTGAAAATAAATATTATCCAAACAAGATAAATCAATTCAATCTTTCAATTGAGTCTGACCGGCTTGCACCCCTTAACCCTCTCTCTATCTCTCTCTCTCTTTTAACCCAATCTATCCTGTCTGCGGGTGTGCAAACAATTTTTACCCTTCACCTGTGCGAAAACAGCTGGCGCAAGTCCTGCGAGTCGGGGACTCAGACTCACTTTTCTCACATCCCACTCACATATGGCCAACATATGGCAGAAGAATGAATGAAAGAAAGCAGCCAGAGAAGCTTTAAATTACATCAAAGATTTACACGGAGAAGAAAGGAATATAAAAAAAAAAACGGGGCAGGAGACAAGTCAAGGAAAAGTCCTTCGAAGAAGTGTCTGTGCAAAATGAAAAATAAATAACAATCACACAAAAATCAATATTGATGCAGGAAGGGTGGGCACGGCGAATCAATGCCCGTCTGGCAGTTTACAAAAAAAAAAAAACACAATATAATAATCAAACGTGTAGGCGTGGCTTTTAAGCCATATGCTGCTGCTGGAAAACTTACCCGGAATATATATTAAAAAACAAAAAAATTGGGAAAAACACTACAAGACGGAAAAACACAACTTTTTTAATCAAGTGTCAACTGAAAACGAAAAACTTCCACTTTACACTCCGTTCTGCAGGCTTCCTAATGACAAGTGTATTTGTTATTTGCCCGATTTCCCGAACAGCTGTTGCACCCTTACACAGATACACCCGCACCCACACAGCGACAGAGCGTGGTGAATATGGTTTTTGTTGCCTGGTTTTTAGCGCACGCACATTCAGCTCGAAACGATGTCGGATGCTGACTGAGAGCCAAGTTGGCAAAAAGTGTCCGAGACCGACCGCCATGATTGAAAGCCGGCTGTTTGGCTGTGTGGCTGTGTGGCAGCAAAAAGTTCTCTTGGGAGTGGGTGGTATACATATATACTATATATAGGGTAGTCTTTTGGGAGGGTCTAGTTGGGTAGGGAAACTGGACACAACCTGTTGAGCAACAAGGGCGAGAAACGAGTCGAAATCGAATGGATGGCAATGACAATGTCATTGAAAAGGACTTTGCCTCTGCAGTCGACCATGAAAAAAGAGGTGGGTTTTGGGGTACGACAAAAAATTATAAGAAAAAAGGAGGGAGCTACGGGGGGCGACACCAAAGAATCCAAAAGAAAAAGCCGGAGAACTTGGTTAAGCAATGAAATGAGTGGCACAGACAATGCCAACTGTCATCGGGATATCAATTTTTTTTCTTTTTTTATTCTCTGTTTTTGAACGGATATGAAGCTGACAGTCAATTAATAAACGTTCGACACTTGGCCGCCAGAGGGCGTTAGCCATAGTCGGGCCCTTTCACTTTCTCCTGCTTTCTCCTTGTTCCTTTCTTTGTGTGTTTTTTTTCGCTGCGTGGGCGGCATTTGCGTCATAGCTTCCTCGCAATTAACATTTTGTAAAAGTTTTCGCTTTTTCCCTTATGTTTTCTAGGAAATTAAAAAAAAAAAGGCAGCTGTTTTTGGGTTAACAGGTGCCTGTCTTTTATTCGAATTCTTTTAAAAGTGAAATACCATGAATTGCTTTTAATTTTAAAGCGTGCAACGCCATTTTTTGGATTGATGGATTAAGGAACCCCAGAGTAACTGGCGATAAAGTAAAGGGTTATTTTCGAAAGGGTTTGTGGGGTCAAATAATAAAAATCTTGACTTGCAAGATGTATGGATTTGAAATTGATCGATGAGGTGGCAGTTTTATGGCTGCTGATAAATATATTCAAATAAAATGTGTAAAAAAAATATGTTTAATTAAAATAAAATTACAACTATATACTTTTCTGTCTGCATCGGATTTTTTGGCAGGTAAATTGTGTAATAAAATTAATTTATTAAAACCGCTTCTAAATAGTAATCAAACACAATTGTTTAAAGCTAGTTGAAAACCTATTTTTCAATTTCTGATTTCCCTTTTTAATGATTTTTAACATTTATATTACTTCAATTGATTTTTTCCTGGCTCTGCATTGTTCTCTAATTCAGTCCCTAAACTGTACTATCTTTCATTTAAAACGCATCCATCATAGCCGGCTTAGTCACTAACAGCTGCCCTCATAAACGAGTCGCACATTTGTCACACATTTTAATCTAATTAGAGCTCCCCCTAGATCTCACCACCACCCCAATCTCCTTCCCAAAAACATGCAAATCAAATGAAAAAGTTGGCAAATTTCTCTTTTTCTCTCGGCCCGAATCCCACTCCCTAAACACTCGTTATCATTAGCTAACCAACACGACAGAGGCATAAAAAAAAACTATTCCCAAAACATATGTCAAATAATAAAATAAAAACCAATCAGCAACAGCTGCAGGGCATTAACAAAGTGAGAAAGAGACGGGCAGACTACAAGGAGAAAGAGACACAAGAGCGGAAGGAAAAGAGACAAATGCACGAATTAGTTTGGCCAAATGAGCAAAATCAAATTCGCATTGCCAGCCACAAGAAATGTTCCACAGGATATAAAAGGAGGCTAACAATGGAGTGGTGGAGGGATAAGGTTAGGGAAAAATAGAGGAAAATGGAGAGGGCAAAATCCAGTGGTTTAGAGCAGTCAACAAATGAATCTCCAAGTCACCAAAGGCATCCCATAAAGTTTTCTTTTTGGTGTTTAATAGTGAAACTTTATTTCCTTTACTACACCGAGAAAAAGTCTTGAAAACCATTTTACTTTTCATATGTGATGCAAAATAAATTATATTCCAATTAAGTTTTTCCTATTTTTTTAAATTCAACGCTATTTAACACAATTTACTTTTATATATAAAAATTAAGAATGTTTTATTAAATCATTATTTTGTTCAATGGTTTTGTATTAAATTACTTGTCGGTTTATTTGGTAACTTAATTTATAAACAAATTAAAAGTAACCATTTGAAAAAAATAAGTTTACCACGTCAGATCTTGAAATATTTTGTTTGAGTGTAGTTTCTTTTCCATTTTAGCAATCTTCTTTCCGTGTCTTCGCCCACTCGCTTGGTTCAACTGCTAAAGAATTTTTCACTTCCGGTTGAAGGCGGAGGAGCGTGGCGGACATTTTGCACCGAGCGTTGTTCTCCTAAATGTCAAGGATACCACAATTACGGCAGCAGCAACAACACGGCCAGCAATCAAGGAGGCTCAGAGGATGGGGAAGGAAGTAGCAGAAGCGGATTTTAGCAGCGGTGGCAAGGACAAAGCGGCAGCACTGTCGCCGCCATCGAGAGAATGCTGTAATTAATTATTGTGGCGCACACACATTGCGGCATGGACGAGCATACAAAATGGCTACTTTGTTGGCAATTCTTAGAGGGTGTTGTAATGACTGTAAGAGGCGGAAAATCCAAAGGGGAAGGCACTCGAAGCTGTAAGGGACTTAGGTGTATTGGTATGGAGCAAGTTAGTTGGGTGGTAAAAGATCTATTGCCAATGCTAAATACAATTGATTGTTCATGCGGCAGTAAAAGAAATGCTCGAAAGTATGCTATGGATTGGAATTCATTTATTGTTTTAAGGTGATTGCTTTACAGAAGGACCGTTTTTTAACAGCACACATATGTATAGGCACTTGATAAGGCTATATGTCATCTTTAGAGTATTGTAATTTGTAATATATAAACTTTATATATTTATGGTTACTAAAATAAAATAGTCTTTAGAAATCCAAGAATAAATAAATGAATTTTGAACTATTAATTATAAAAAAAACACATTAAAAACAGTCTGAATTTAAAATTGCAAATAATACGACATAAAACAAAAAAAAAATAACCAACTACTTATAAATGTAACAAAATTCCAAAAAGATGAAAATATTTTTTTTCTTCTTTTCTGAATATCATCCAACAAAAAAACTAAGTCACAATTAATTCTCCGTATCACTCGAGTTTATGGGGGTCACATAAAGCCGTGCACACTCACGAATCTCTCACCCCTCGCGGAATCTATTTCGGAATGTTTTATTATATTCCTTTTGCTGTCATTGTTGTTCTACTATTTATAAATGACAAACGCAGAAATTTTCCCTGCATGGCGCCAAATGCCATCAATCAAACCAACAACAAAATACACGGCATTACGACACAAAACGAAATTCCCCAAAAAAAATAAGGTAGACGGAAAAAAATGCAAATACCCAAAAACAGACGACAAACGAGCAAAGGGGGAAAGAACGGAGGCCAAAGAATGCCATGACAACTGAAGACTGACAAGGAGTTCCAGACCAGGATTCGTCCGCTAAGCTCGGGGATTCCAGGACATCCATATATTCGTATACATAGCTGGCAGTCTGTAAATTAAAATCGTTTAAAATGCGTGCTGCATACTTTTTGGCTGTCTGGCAGACGAGGGATGTCACTGAAGTTTGTTGCTCCTTGGGCAAAAACTTTCTGCAACATGTGTGCGTGTAGTAAACTTCCGTCCTCGAGGCTACTAGTCTTCTCCTTTGTTGAAGCGGCAAGGAAAATAATATATATATATATATATATATATATATAAATAAGAAGAGTTGGAATCTGACAGGCAAATGCGTCTCTCATTAAGCCAGACGCACTTACACACAAGCAGCTTAAGATGTCAGCCAAGACACAGTTGGTCCAGGAACAAGGCAAAAAATAATTCCAAGGACCAGGACAGCAAGTTCAGGACCACAATCAGGACCAAGCTGGCGCTTCAAGTTAATTGAATTCTGCGTAGTTTAAGTTATACGACACAGTCATAAACTTGGCCTCATATGCGTAAAACTCAAAGTTTTTGCTCTTCCCCTCTTGCTTTCGGTTATTTATGCGGTGCGTGCACGCACTTTATGAGAG